CTGTGATAACTATGGTGTTCTGTAGACTTGGTATTTGTTCATAAAGATCATACAGTAATTACCTTATCAAATGTAAATACTTTCTCATAGAAATTTAATTATATTTTAATTTTCAAGTAAATATCAGTTCAGCTCATTCAAAGATTAAGAATTGTAATGAAATGTATTTCCCTAGAATAAAATCTTAAATCAGAATTTTTTAGTTATTAAATTACAATTACATGTACTTTTTATCTTCCCTACTGATTTGTTTTAAGGTTCATTTAACAACACAGTGCCAAGGATAAAAACTTGCTTGCTAGATAACACTTATCCATAATGCCCCCATCTCCATCTAAAGCTTTCGTAAACGGGCGTATTTTGTGACTATGGCACCCTTGTTTTAAATGTGTTTCAGTGTTTGTGGTATTACTGTAGATCGCCTGCAGGGATGTTTTATGATTTCAGTGCAGAGATATTGTAGTTGTCCACTGATCATGTATATTTGTTTTTGGTGGTAATAATTTATTATTAGAGTGAACTCTTGAATCAATCTCTGGTCATTTTGCTCACAAACCCCGTATTTAGTATTTTCTGTTACTGTGCGGTCAGTAGTCAGTCAGGAGAGAAAATTGATGACCAACCTTTAAAGAACTTTTTTTTTATGTAAATTAGGCAACTGACTTGTGGAAATCGGTCAGTGGTCAGTCTGAGTGGTGAAAAGTAGACCTTGTTATGGATGGTTTCTGTCAAGAAGATGTATCATAGAAACTTCACGATTGCAAGACAAAACCTCGTAAACTGGTGTATAACCACTATATAGCTGGCCGTTGATAGATAGGACCTCAGTCTGTTACATTTCTCCTGATTGTTTATTGTTAAACATCGACTCATTTTTCAATCCCTGGTGAAAAAAAAAGTATATATAAGAAATGAGATTGATATTATGATTGGTTTGAAAGTATTGGGAGTTTGTTTTAGTTGGAAAAATATCTTAAAGTCTCCAATGTCTCTGGATATAAATTTGTTGTTGTTGTTGTGTTTTACGTCTCACCAACACAGTATAGGTCATTAGATGACTTTCGAGCTTTATTGGCAGAGGAATATCTCCGGTGCCCTTCCATGCATTAATTCAAGCACAAATGGGCATTTAGAGTAAAAGCACCTATGGAAGTTCCATAAGCTAGCTGGATAGCTTCCTCAAATGAAAGAATTATAATGTCCCTGTCATGATTTCCGTTATGACAGGCTGCCCTGGTCAAGTTAATTAGTGGTTTAATTGAAGAAATACAAGCTAGGGCAGGGATTTGTAACTGTGGGATCTTTGGATCTAAGCTTATGATCGAACTTTACGGAACAAGTACAAGGATTGTAAGCTGATTTATTTTCTTTTGAGTTTCCTTGGTTTCCTCTCTTTTTTACCCTTTTCTTTGCTGCTTTCATAAATTGCACTAAAATGTACCTGTTGGGATACTGACATTATATAGTCTGCAAAAGGGCTGAAGCTTGGAAGGTACATGTATATCAATTTTTTTATTTCTACCAACCTTAGTTCACTGGTCATTCAAAAAGCTTGGAAGTTCCTGAATGACTTTGTTTTTTGAAAATCATGTTAATTATTAGGATAAAGCCAGAGATTATAACTAAATATATCTATATTGGCAGACTATCCTTTCTTTCCAAAAGAGAAACTGTTATATCTATTAATTCTATGGTCTTTATAGTGGTAGTCAAGCATTTTTTTTAGCTGGCCTGTTTCGGAGAAAAAAGTCCAGCTATTATTATGATTGCTCATGCAAAAACTTTAATGTAGCCGGTTATTCAAACATTTTAGAAGTTATTAACATAAAACATGCTTATCATGACAAGGTGCAGTTGTGAGACAAGGGACATAATTCTGAAAGCAACATTTTTGGAGTTGTACTAACCCCTGTGAAATTCAGAGTGTGCAGTTTTTACATGGGCAAACATATCTAATGTTCTTTTAAAGTTAATTAACCTGCATATTCTTTGTGTAATGTTTAATGTGCTGGTTCCTTTGTGATCACTTTTATTTGTAGACTTCGCCAGACTTGTCACTTGATCCTAATTCCATGGTCATTTGGAGCATTTGGCAATGTAACATACATTAAATATCCGTTCTGGTGTGATAAATATTAACCAGCCAGCCTGCATATAAAAGAAACAGTGCTTGCCATTCATCTTTTTAAAAAATTATGTTCCCGCCTTTTCTACATGTATATTTTCCTTGTGTTTGCATCTTAATCAGTGTTTATTCCATAATGTTTGTTAAATCCATTTGTGAAATATTAAAACTGGGTGTTGGGAAACATTGTTAGCAAAGTCTGAGTGATTAATTCCATTGTTTAAACACTTTAAAACATATATATTATGCTGTTGACAATCACACATGGATTTGGACGCCATGGTGGACTGTTGCATTGTGGTAAGGTTTACCTCCGCTTTGAAGAGTATTCAAATTATAAGGCTAGGACTACTGTTAAGTACAATGAAACTTAGGGCCATGGGTTCAAACCCCAGAAGGGTCAACATTTTTTTTTCTTTAAACATTATTTATGTAACTCTCATATCCCTTTTGGAAGGAAAAAAAGTGTTTCATATTTTTTATTTAATTTATATAGGTATTTACTGACATAAAAATTATGTTTATAGTACACCTTGGTACTTCATGGTCATTTACTGTGAGTATAATGCTTTTTACCATGGTCTGTAATTTTGTTACATGGTAGACCATGGTTTTTCATGATTGCTTACTGATATGCAGAATGACTATGTTATTACATGGTCATACTCAGCACTTAGACCATGATGTAACCATGGCATTAATTTTGATGGTTTTTCACTTAAGACCAAGAAATAACATGTTCAGATATGAAAAACCATGAAATACTACGTTGACCATGGTACACATTTCACCTGGGAATTTATTTTAGAATTATTGTGTTGGAAGCTATAAGCTTATTGAAACACTCTAGAATCCGTTCCTAGAACCTTTAAATCAGTATGTAGCAGGCTAGCCTGGATCTATACTGCACATCCATGCAGCCTGATCAGGCTCTTTACTAAGTTGACTGATCAACTTTTCATCTTAATAAACAGTTTAAAATTTAATAAATACACAACAATTACATAGATTTTGATATTGTAATATAAAATTTGATTGGGAAATCCCATATATATATATACAAGCTTTTGCATACTGGTATTTCATATTTACTTTAAAGTTTATAACATATCAGGACTCCACTGAAGTACATTGTAAATCAATATTAAAAAGTATTGATGAATAATAAGTTTAATAACCTTTTGTAGTTAATTATTAGAAGAAAAGATGGCGTGTTTTTTGTTTTTTTTCAATTCTTAAAAAATGACAGATGTCCAATAATTGACACTTATAGTGGTTAAGGAAACAGATGTTCTTTATGTTATCTTTCAAATCCAGCAAAATGTGTCAGATATCATTGTCAATTTTTAATTCAAATAAATTTTTCTATTTATTGAGCATTTATCATCGATATGTTTGAGAAATTTGGATAAAAGGCATGTGTTTCAAGATAAAGGGAAACAACTTCATTTGAAATAATTCTTCAAGCATATAGGGTAGTGTTTCCTTGAAGATATGTGGATGATGTATTAGATGGGTTCATTTTATTGTATTTGTGCATGATAATTATTATCAAATCTGTCAATTATTATCAGACCAGTCTTGGTTAATTGAAAAGGTGGTCTTTAAAATGAGATGGTATATTGCTGTGCAGGTCCTTTTGTGTTATGAATGGATCAGAAAGGGAAAACAAAATTTTAATGTTGACAAATTTTTATATGTGAAATTTATTCTGCTTGAGCGCTGCAAAAAAAATAGAGGGCTAGGTAAAAAACAAAAAAAACAAAAAACAACAACAATATATTTTGTTTCATAACAGAAGAATAAATGGGCACGGCCCTCAATACATCAAAAGAAAATAACAAAAGGATTGGCCTCCTACAAAACAGTCGAGGATATGGTGCTTACCTAATTTTTTTATCAAATTTGTCAGGATCAAAACTCCTTAAGTATTTGAAAAATCAATTTGAAACCATGGAGGAAATAAATTTATAGTGCACAGGAATGGTAAATCTTCCCTTCATAATTTTGAGTAATTGTCCATTGTTATTTTGCATGTATAATTATTGTTAAGAGCATAAGCTCTGAAAGTGTTTAAGATATCAACTTGAAACTTCATAAGTTGATATGTTTCATTGAAGAAGAGATGCAGGGCACACAAACAATAATGTTTTGCTTCAAGTTTTATAGAAACATATTTATAACCTGATTAGAGACATATTTATAACCTGATTAGAGGGTGGAGAAAGCAAATTACAAGAATGACAACACTTCATAACTTTGGATCTGTTGCCCTTTGTTTCTTTTCATGCATTTTATGCAAATGTCAAGGCACAGTTGTTAGACAAGAAACATTGTTCTGAAAGCTGCATTTACATTTTGTCAAAATTACTTATTTAGTAGAATGATTTCAAAACTATGAAAGATGTGAACAAGAATCTTGGTATACTTGATTATCATGTCAACGTGAAGTTTTATATACTTAAAGCAATGTTTTAAGGAATTACATCCCTTTTTAACTTATAATATTTATAGAAATTGTTAATTGATAGTCATTGCCCTTAACAGAAGAGTGTTAACACCACATGGGTTGCTCTTGTTTATGCACATTTGGCAGTCTGGCTGCTTCTAAATGTTTCTCTTAATTTGCATGTCTCTTTACTTGTCTGTCTGTTTTACACGAAACTTACCTTGACAATAACATGACACGGACGGCTTCCAAACTTCACAGCTCAAGGCCACCAGGGTCAAAGCCCCTGCCATTTTTAAATTGTTGTTTATGTTGTTTTCTTGCATAATATGTTTATTCTGTTTTAGGATGGAAAATAAATGTGTAAACATTACTGCATTTTTCCGTATAGATAAGTGATGTGATTGTGTACATGTATATTTTCAGAGATTGAAGAAGGCCAGGTCAATGAAGTAGATAGTGAAGATTCACAAGTTGTAGATTCCACCTCGTATACTCTTGAAGTTGGAGATTCTGACAGGTAGAAATCTTGTTTCCTTTGACCATTGGTCATTTACATATATAACAGGAAACCATCACACTTACACTTTTGACACATATTGTCACCAGGATTGCTTCACATCACAAACAGCTACATACATGCAAAACTAATAACAATTCTATTATATTAGCACCCCAATGTCATAGGAAATAATACATTATCAATAGCTTGAACTCTTTATTAGCTCTAATACTATACCCACAAAACACAAACAGATATACCCAAGTTATAACGAAAATCTACACTGTCCCTACAATTGTATTGCATCCTCAATTCAAAAGGCATTTGCTTCTCTGCAGCATGGGATCCTGTGAGCACATGAGTGAACAAATTGTGAATAAAAAAAAACAAAAAAAATGAACACAGTTACATGAATGCATGCACAAAGGCTTACTAGTCACCAAGACAGCATCATATTTACTTAACATATTTGTAGTTAAAGCCTCAAAAGCATATTCATTCATACACAATAACATATAGCTAAGTGATTTTTGCAAGGAATGTTAATAGAAACATAAAATAATGGTCATAATGCAGTGAAGGATTGTTTATTTTATCATGGTCATGACAAAAGCATTGAGCCTATTTGAACCAACAATAACGATTCTTGGACTGATGTTATACTGATGTCATATAACAGATTTCATGGTCATTACCCTAAAAGGGGTTTGAACCCATTATCTCTGATTTGAGAGGCAGCAGACTCTTTGACCACTAGACTGACTACCTTTCCCATCCCAGTATGAGCAGTATGGTTTTCTATATGACTGCTGCCTTAGATGCTGTAACTTGGACAAATGATTACTTTGTTAACATCAAATTCATGAAATCATTTTACTCTAAGTCTACTAATGGCAACAGATTTTTTTGGATTTCAAATCACTTAGTTTTAACATATTTATCATAGCTTGATGGCGAAAAAACCTCTTGCAACTTATATGATATTAATCACTTTTGATTCTGCTTGCTGGAACCAACCAGTACTAGTGTCATATGAAGGAACACATGGTTGTGACCCTAGTAGGGCCTGAACCCATGATCTCTTGGTTGAGAGGTAGACTCACTTGCCCTTCACTGTCATGGTTTCCAATCCTCTCAGGGAATTTAGATTCTTGTATGTGAGAAAGCTATCCAGTTAGCTTAGAGCAGATAGATGGTTCTACTCCGGTGCCCTCTCATGTTTAAAATAATATAAAAGAGGCACCTGAAGTCTTCCTTCACCAACAAAGCTGGAAAGTCACTGTATGACGTTAACGATGTCGGTGTAACTTAAAATCCATCAATACAATTTATAGACAGTTTTTTCCAATGTGACAAGTGATGGCTAAAATCAGCCTGCACATCTGTCATCACTGTTTATGGTCAGCACTGTTCGATATTTGGTCAATACAGATTTTGATAATTTTGCAATGTTCAGTTTTTGATCAATACAGATTTTGATTATTTCGCACTGTTGAATATTTGGTCAGTACAAATTTTGATAATTTCGCACTATTCAATTTGTGGTCAGTACAGATCATGATAATTTTGCACTGTTCACTATTTGGTCAATAGAGATTGTGATAATTTTCCTAAATATTATGAATGGTTTCGTCTAGATTGCCCGTGTCTGAGTCAATTTTAAATATTTAGTGGGGTATGGTTAAATATGGACAAATGGTTACATTGTTGACATCTCATTATAATTAATAATTTTTAAAGAAGCCTGCAATTAGTATACTATTGTTTGATATTGTTTGTGATTAAAATAAATGAGTCATACATTATGTTTTCTTCCAATTATGTGCCTTTACGTATATAACAAATATGGGATTGAATTGTAAAGAATGAGTAATGTCAAACAATTGTTTTTCAAATATGACATTTGTTTTATTAGTTTTCTTTAGGAAACAACAAACCATTTCAAGGGTTATTGACCTGATTGACATTTTTTTCCTCAATAATACATGACTGTACTCACATTAAAGGGTTTGCTAAAATACTAAATACTACTGTAAATTAGTGAAACTTTTAGAACAAGTAACAAAACTGTTTGCAATTGACCCTTTATCTATGTACTGAGAGTTAGAAATTATCTTACCTTGATAAAAGACGGGCTTAAAATTAAGAATAAAAATCTCCTGTTATGTTTTTATGACACCGCAGCATCTGAATGGTTCAAATTATTGCCCTAGGCTCAAATTGACTTTGCCCTTGGGGGCGGATCGGGGGAGGGTCATAGATTTTCTGTATAGTAATAATTCTAAAAAAAAAATCTTCTGCTCCAAAACTTAAAGGGCTATACCTTAGATATTTGGCATGAAACATTTTGATTTGGACCTCTACCAAGATTGTTCAAATTATAGCCCTGGCCGCAGTAGGTCATCATGGGTTTTCCTCAAATATATTTTGTGAAAATTTAAAAGGAAACCCTGCTTCTCCAAAACTAAATGGACTGCAGCTAAGATATTTGGCATAACTCAAGTGCTCATTAACACAAAAGGTTTACAAAAGTTCAATTTGAAAAAAGAAAAAAAGAAAACAAATAAAAAAAATTTAAATGTATTTTTTATTTTTTTTGGTTTGTATCAAAAAGAAAAGGGGATCCCTGAAGTGTTGGACAAAAAGAAAGTCCATATGGAAACCCATAGTGATGGGGAAAAAGGGGCTTACAATACATCGGGGTATTATTTAAAAAATTGCTTTGAAAAACTTCCCCTTTGCGAGGTATTTTCCCATCCCCCGGGTCCCAAAAGGAAATGATCCCCTTTTTGGGGATAATTTTAAAAAATATTATTTTCCCCCTGACTTTTTTTTGGGAAAAGGGACACACTTTTTTTTGGGGAATTTTGGGGAAATTTTCCCGGGTTTTTAATTTTGAAAATCTAAAAAAATTTAAAATTCCCTTGAAACATTTTATCAGTAAATAATTTTCATTTCAAATAACTCTTTGGATATAACCTTGAATTTCATCTCTCGGTTATATGAAAAACATTGGTTGAGAGAATATTACTTCGAAAAACAAATTTAATCACTAAGTCCGTATGTAATGAAAAGTGGCATATTTAATTTTAAGCAGTTTCAAAAAGATGCAAATTAATTTGCTAATTTGCTTATCAGAGCTGTGTATTGCCACACAGGTTGCGATTCAATATGATCTGCAATTCAGACCTGACGATTCACGAATTGCGCCACAAATTGTCTCATAATATTAATATGAAAGAGAATATATAATGTGCTTTAAAAATTCAGACTTGACCATTCATGAACTGCACGACAAATTGTCTCATAATATAAAAGAAATTATAATGTGCTTTCAAAATTCAGACCCAACGATTCATGAATTGCACCATGAATCATCTCATGACATTAATATTAAAAACAATTATAATGTTCCAAAAACGTTTCAAAGAAAAGATAAAATTGAAGTGAATGACCTTTACGATGTTTCTTTAACAACTGTTGTATGTTTAAATATAAAAAAAAAGTAATCCCCGGAAGCATTAAAAACAGCAAAATAACATGAAAATTGCAGACTTGGTTAGATTAAGTCTGTGAAAAAGTGCAACAGCACTCACGCCCCCTAGCACCAGCTTGAGCGGTACTCAATTCTCAACACTAAAAGTGCTGGACTCAGTGATCCTGAAGGACCAAATAAATATAACAACACTGAAGTGAAGTACAGGGCAACTTTTTACAGCGTGCCACACAGCACTTGACACTGCTGTTTAAGTTTGCCTTACAACTTTTAGTTTCAAATAAGTGATGATAATAGGGTTACTAAAGATAAGACAACATTAAATAGTAAAACAGAAAATTCCTTTTGAAGGTTCTATACATTAAAAACAGTTATTAAACATTATAATGATTTAAGTGTAAACTGGGATTCAGTGATCTTAGAACAAACAAAAATCAGACTGGTGAATAATCGATTGTCCCTGTAAACGTTACAGCCCTACTCTTTATTGAGCTATGCAGACAATTCCAGGACCATGTATTATTAAATAAATGATGTGTGTATTTCAGGATGGAAGACATGTACGAAGCTGATGATGCAAGTGATCACGATGTTGCCAATGGAAACAGACTTTGTCGAAAATCCACCAGATAGCGAGCCCGCTTACCCACCAGGTTCACCAGAGGAAGGTGAAGTGATTGATGACAATAGTGGACGCAGGGGAAGTTAACACTAATGATTCTATAAAAGCTAATGTTAAAACAGGTCACAGAACCTGTTGATAAAACAGAAGAAAATTCCAAAGAAGGTGAAGGTGATACCAAAACATCTCAGAAGAAAAAGGAATTTTGTGATGAAAATATTGAGTGTGAGGTTGTTGAAGATGATGCTGAAAAGAGGAGAGGAAACCATCTTAACTGATATATTAGATAAAAGATACCAAACTAGTAAATGTGGATAAGAAAAACTGATGATGATAGCAATGATAAAAAAACTGATAAAAGTGATAAAACAACTGAAAATGTTGGTGTTGATGTTAGAATTGTTAAGAAAGAAATAAGAGATTCTGATGATGAAAATTCAACAGCTGTTACAGATAAAAAAGATGAAATTGACAAGAATGATGCTGACATGAAAAAAATTAGATGATGTTAAAACTGAGAAAGATAATGTAGTAGATGTTGAACCAGTTGAGAGTGAAAAAGGACCTGTCAGATGAAGGAGAGGTTTTTGAAGAGAGTGCAAAGGATACTGTCAAAGCTGGATGTTCCAAATCAGAAGTAATTGTTAGTGACGTTAAAAAGGGAAAACCTGCTAGAAGAGTTGTAAAACCACCAAAACAAGACATTGCACCAGCTTTGACCAGAAATCAAATGGAATTGTTAGAACTTGAGATGAGAGCTAGGGCAATTAAAGCAATGTTAAAAACTGCTAAATGATATGGTATCACAGGGGTTTCAGCCGATAAAAGCCCATACACTTTGTTGAATGTGAACAATTTTTCTTCATAATATTTCCCTTTATTTTAATTCGATCTCCAGAGGAAAGAAAAAATCAATGTCATAGATATGAGCATTTTTACATTGTTGAGCAAATGATGTAGAT